AAGGTGGATTGGGGAAATTTTTAGAGTAACCCTCGCTTATTTTCTCCTTGTAAAGTGAGGAAAATAAAAAACATTGAATTAATTAGGGGTTGATCTCGTCAGCCCCACTATAGCGGTCATGCAGGTGCTATAGTGGCGCCGCCATAGCGGAAGATTTCCTTCTAAGGTGGGTAGACGTCAGTCCAGATCAATCTAATTTTAAATAATTTTGTTATATGCTCCAATTTTTAATTGGGCATCAAAATTCAAAAAAATGGGACTTGGCGCGAGGTGCACTTGAATACTGACGGATCGGGTCATTACATCCTAACAACAAACTTTTAAGATATATTCTAGGTATGTATAAGAGCCTCTAAATAGAATACGACAAGAAAAGACTTAACTTTCGCCAGAAAGAAATACACAAAATATGAGAATGATTATTCACCGCTTCACATAAGAGACTTCTAGTCAATCTGCAACATATCTAAACCCCACAAAGGATGTAGCAAGAGTACTATCAATACACCATAATGATTGACCCTCAAGCCCCAGTCATTAAACTTAACATTATAACCCTCAAGCCTCTGCCATCAAACTTAACATGAACATCATATATCACCCCACTCACCCTCAGTCATCAAACTTAACATTATAACCCTTAAGCCTTTATTTTACGATAAGTATATTTAGTGATTAGCCACACCAACTATATAATCATGCATGCAACACATAGCAATAATTCTTCAAAAAACAAGTATAGCCATAACAGATTAAATCATGTCATATAACAGGTAAAATAGTCATCAAGTATCTCAACATATCAAACAACTCATAAAATTCAATAACAACTCACACAACAATTATAAAGTGTACACACACTAAGGGTCTTATTTATGTCAAATAATCATGAATTGCAGCGGAACAACTTCGTTCATGTACCATACCAGTGTGGTATCCGACCCACCAAATTATGAAAAATATATATGTAGCGGTGAGGTGTGTGTGTGTGTATATATATATATATATAACACTCGTCCATAAGATCACCTCAACTTCAAGCCACTTGTCACACTATAATGCCCATGTTATCATTACGACTCTCACACATAAAACTCACTATACGATAGTTATAAATATACTTATAACACAAGGAATTCAATGATTTCATCAAGTGATAACCCATGCAATTTTAAGCATCAAAATCACATCATCAAGTTCAGCCTGCATGAATTGACTTATTTAAGTGTTTTTAAGTAAAAAATAGTTTTTAACTATTTTTAGAGTGTTTAGGTAAATTTAAAAAGTATTTATAAGAATTTGATTTTAAGCTAATATGATAAAAATAAGTCAAAGTTAATCTAAACAGGCTCTTAATCATGTCTGAAGACCAATCAACAAACATTCAACTTTAGAGTATACATGAATCTAAATCAAGTCTAACTCCTATTAACCACACGAATTCTTCTGCTCTTATCATGATCAATAGCCTAGTAATGATTAAGTAATAAGGTTACACCCTCACTATGACAAGTGCACCCTTGTTAATGGTAATTATACCTAATTCTGAGGTTACAAGTTCATGTTGTTCCTCTAGTGTTACATACATTTACATATTCACCTTATAAAACACTTATCAAAGGATTCATAAATGTTTGACATACTACATATACATGACCCTTTACTTGGTTTCAGCGAAGAACTATGACCTCCAACTTTGAATGTGCACAAGTAGACACTTAAACTTATATAAAATTGAACAAGTAGACACAAGTGGCCTACATGGCACAATACACGTAGGACATCATGTAGGACACAAAATTGTCATGTAAGACGAATGTGTATATTTGCTTAATTTTATATAAGTCTAAGTGTCTACTTGTGCACGTTCAAACATGGTGCCCACATGCCTAATTATGATTCTCCCATCAAATCTAGGTTATATATATATATATATATATATATATATATATATATATATGTGTGTGTGTCTTCTAATCATAGTTTACTAATCATAAATTATTGATCACTTGAATGCCAAATTGTTGATGTGGAGCACATGAATTCTCGTCTCTTGATTAAGTTCTAGCGAGACTAGAGAAGAGTTTTGTAAAGACGAGGTCTTGATACGCGTTTCTTGAGAGACTTGCCTCTATGTTATTAAGGATTTTTCCTTAAGAATAGCCCTAAGGCATTTTTAGGAGGAGTCAACCTTTTTAAAATTTGGACTAAAAAGAAAAAAAGGTTAATTTCCTTGGGGCCATTGTCTACTCTAACGACTTAAGACCATCTACAACAGTTCCCGCTATAGCTATAGTGATCCTAGGCGACATCCCCCAATTTTTTCCTGCATAAAAGAAAATTTTCGTTAGCCATGACGGGATGAAGCCCAACTTATCTTGGCTAGATAACTCAATTTTCAAACTCACATTTTATCGTCAGTATGTTAATAACAACATAATGAATTGGGACGATACAATTGTCGTTAGCCTAAAGTAATTTTTTATTATTTATGTCCATAATAATTTTATCAGTTTCAATTATATAGAACAAGATTGAATCTCAATCATAGAAGATTTGGATGGACATATGGCAAAAAATTCAACAAAGTTACTGAACAATACTGGATATACTTTCATTAGAGGGGATATTTCCCCATAAATACAAACTGATTTTCTTAATGAAGTGAATTTAATTAAGTAATGAATGAGGCACATATATGATGTGGTAAACAAAACTTGTATGAGGCTCTATTTATTTTTTGACAAGTGGATAATTGGGTCCCATTTCAAAAAATGGCCAAAATTCCCCTTTCTCTCTCTTTCTTTATGACATTTTCCCCCTCTTACTTTTTTTTTGTTTGATTTCTTTTCCAACCATTGTTCCAAATTCTGCACTTCCATACTTCAATAATTTTATTCATGAAAAGTATGAAATCAAAAAATGCTTGCCTGATTCATTCTATTTCTAACATTTTGACATTATTTTTCCATCTCGATACTAATTATTTATATTTTTAAAAATAGTTATATAAAATTATTTGTTAATTTACAAATTAAGATATAATTAATTACAAATTTTCTATGTTATTATAGTAATTCTTTTTGAAAGTGTAGATAAGATTTATAAAGTTAAAAAACAATAAGGTATAAATTAGTAAAACTTTTATTTTATTTATGATTTCTTAAGAAATTCGTAAAAAAAAGAGTAGATTATTAATATGAAAAACAAAGAAGGTATAAAATTAATTTGTTATTTTTTTTCTTCTCTAGAAAATTTCATGTTTTCATAAGCACTTCAAATCCATCAAATATTCTTCAATAAGAAAATATAACGGAAAGAGCATCAATGATTTGACAAACAATTGCGTAAGTTTTGATACTATTTTCACGAAATTCAAAAATGAAAAATATCCATAAACACCCACATAAATACATAATCTTTCCGTCAATATTTACTATATCTTTTATTCCTTAAATTCAAGCTAGGTGAAATTTAATAAATATTTTATTTATCTACTTTCCTTACACGTTTCTTAGGAAGTTATAAATAAAAATGATAATTTTATTAATTTATTCCTTAAAAGACTTTTTGCGACTTTACAAATTTCATTTATACTTTAAACAAAAAATAATTGTTAGAATTAAAAAAAATTACTTGTATCTTGATTTTATAAACGGAAAATTAAATACAGACAACTATTTATTATAATATGAATAAATAACATAGAATAGAAAAAAAATTAATATAATAGAATAAAAACTTATACAATGATCATAAAAAATTAAATCAAAATCCCCTACATAAAAAAAAGAAAAAAAACATAAACTAATTAGATTAGTTAAGAATGAAAAAAAAAATTACAAAAATGGAAACAAAAAATATATTGAAATATAAGTGTAAAAAAAAAAAAAAAAACACAAACTAATTAGATTAGTTAAGAATGAAAAAGACATTTAAAAAAATGAAAACAAAAAGTATATTGAAATAGTGTAAAACAAAAAAAAAAGGCGTAGAGGACTTAATAGATGCCCTTTGTCACTTGACAGATAGGTTTCAGTCCATTTATCAATCAAATAATGCCTTATACAAGTATGATTTGACATGTCTCATATATAATAAAAAATTTCGAGAGCAAGGAAAGACAAAAATCTAAGAGAAATTTATGAAATAAGTGACATGAAAAATATTGACTATCGTTTTTGAAGAGAAAAACATTTGTCATGCCTTTTGTTTTATTCTAAGTAAAGAATATTAGAAGACAAAAATTTAGGAGAAATTTATGGGATAAATGTCAAGCAAAATATTGGTTATCGTATTTGAAGGAGAAATAATAATTTAGCATGCCTTTGTATTTTTATTCAAAGGAGAGAATAGAGGAATGCAAAAATTTTGGAGAAATTTATGGAATAAATATCAAGGGAGAATGTTACTTCCATGTTTTAAGAAAATAGTTTTACCATTTTTTTAAACCTCTTTGTTAGATTTTGATAAAATTATATTGTTATATTTTGAAAGTGAAAACTCATGTTATTCCCGTATTAAGTCTTATATAGTACATTAATGCGATTATCTCGTTCGTAAATTCTAGGTCGTGAATCGTGATAAAATTAATGCCCTTTTTTTCCCCTTCTGGTCACAAAAGTTTACACCCACTTTACTAACTTGTAGGTGGGGGTGGATATGGTACGGATATTAAGAATTTTGATTCGATAATTTTATTTTCTTAAAAATATTACATGATTATCATGTCAAACTAATTTGGTATAGTATGGTATTTGAAAGTTCGATTTTGATATTTAGCTTGTGGTAATTGATATTCATTATTTATTTGACTTTGATTTATGTCTACTCATTCAATAGGATATTATGTCTTTGAATTTTTATGAAACGTCTTAATTATATTATACTAATACCTTACACATGTAGGAATATTCAAAAGAAAGTATAAGGATGATTGTATTGCTTTTCACCGGCATTTCCTTGAGATCTACTAGAGACGGAGTATAGTTGGGATTTTGATGGCTTGTTGGGGTATTGGTGGTGAGGAGAAGAGCAGAGAGGAACAGAGGATTCCCCACTGGTTCAATTGTGTTTTTGATGGTTAGGAAACGAGTAGTGAGGTGGCGCTGGTCTCTTGCCGGAGAGAAGAGAGAGACAAAGGGGGAGAGAAAGAGAGATAGTGATCAAAATATATATCTGATTTGACGTACATGTATTCGATAAAATATACATATATATCTAATTAAAAGTTTATGTATTCGTTAAAGTGTATATATATCTGAGTTAAGATTATATATATTTATGGAAAAAGATTTCTGATGCTAGGAAAAATGAGAAGATATTTGATTTTTTTTTTTTCTTTTTATCAATGATACAACAAATACTCATACACATGAAATTGTTGCTTCAATTTGTTTTACCAAATTTCTTTTACATAATACATGTATGAAATAGTTTCGAATACTGAATTTTGGTTTAAGTATTTAATGAATTCAAAAATAATTTATTTTCACTTCAAATAAGGTTTGTTTTTATGTATAAAGTTTTTCTCTTAATTTAGCGAAAAAAATGTTTATGTTTAAATCCGTTGGGTGTCACTTTGTGGGTTTTCAAAAGTATCTCACACCTTCTTTTGAAAATAATTCGAACCCTTTTCCAATTTTGATTTTATTTAAAAAAATAACTTTAAAATAATTTTCTTAATTTTTTAAAATTAAGTGATGACTCTATTTTAAAAAAAATTAAACATGTCAAAGTTATAAAAAAAAATTAACTTTGTTCAAAATTTCTCGCAACATGGTGTAAGCCATTATTTTGATACTTCAATCATGTCATGACAAAAGAAACTTGTATGATACCTTTGAAATCAAGGTCCTTTTGGGATTGACTCAGTTGGTTTAGAGGGTGATCATCCACACGAATGACTTGAGATCTATCTCCTTTCAATGTCTTCTGAGTCCAGTGGCGTACGTAGAATTTTTATAAAGGGTGTCACCTTTTAAAATGAAACACGATAAATAAAATAATGTGATGTCATTTTTTTTTTTTGAAAGAAAAAAATAAAATACAATTCGCGCTCACTATTATACCTTTTCTAAAAAGAAATATTTTTCAAAATAAACTTTTTAAAATTAATAATATTAAATGTTTCATAAATTATTTTTAATTAATTTCATTAGTGAGAAAGAAGGTAAAAGGGAAAAAAAAAAAACATAAAAAATAAGCATATAAGATGGGTGAATGGAGAACTTCAAATGTATAAAAAAATTACAAGATCTACATTTGAACACAAAACCTAGCCCTTCGAATTCACGTGTCTGACCAGCTAAGTTGTGTGTCCCGTTTGTGTCAAGGAGTGTCACTGTATATAATATATTCACTATTTCTCCTTTTGCCTTTAATTATATACATATATTTAGTAAATTTTTCTGACGAAGCAGTGTCACGTGACATCCCTTGGACTTACGTAGCTTCGCCCCTGTCTGAGTCGAGCGTATCGCATAGAACTTGTCTAATACGATTTAAGGTCTAAATATAGCTTTTATTTACCTATTTTGTTAAAAATATTCTTTGATTATTTTTTTGCTCATTTTTACTACCGCGCTAAAGCACGAGCCCGAATTGGCAAATTCAAGATATAAAAATAGTATGTATTTTTTAGTGAACAAGTATAATTTGTGTCACATTATTTTAAATTTTAAATACATAAGAAGGTAAATTAAAAAAAGATTAATCAGGTCATCATCATCAAGAGTCTCAAAAAGATCGTAAAGTTTGCGTGTTCTTTCCCCCGTTTTTCTATGGCTTCCGATGGCTGAGGCCCGAGGTGTATCCACTTTTTGCAGCCGTAGGCGTTGCTGTAGGGATCTGTGGAATGCAATATATGCACCAACCAGAAAACAGGGCAGCAGGAGTGCTGGATAATTTTTCAGAAGGGGAGAAATATGCAGAGCATGCTCTAAGGAAGTTTGTTCGAAACAAGTCTCCGGAGATTATGCCATCAATCAACGGTTTCTTCAGCGATCCAAACTAATGCCCTAGTCAAGTTTAATATGGATTATAACATCATTATTCTTTGTCCTCTTCTTTTCCATTGAATGAGATAGACATGAAATGCATTTTTCTGGCCTGCGATGGGCCTAAAAGATATTGAAAGAAACTTGAATAAATGTAATCAGAACCACAAGTTCCTCCCTTTTGACAGGGCACATCTTTTCATATACTATTGAACTGTTGTTTTCCGGAAGAAAAATCCATTTACTTTCATGCATGAATAGCACTATTTTGGATTGGAATAAAATAAAAAGATTAATCAGAGGGAGACTTCCAACTAATATGACGTGCCTCCAATCACAACCAATATTTTTTTACTAGATCACGTCTCCAAGAATAGCATAAGCCTATATACTTAGGAAAAAAAATGAAATTCCCTATATTTGTCTTGACTTAAAGAGTGCTTGTCACACCTCTACTGGTTTCAAATCTATATGGATTTGGCATCAACTACTTTAATTCAACTTTGTTGACATTTTGTATTTATTCTTTTGGAACTAACTCGATTTTTTAAAGTATATGTGTACTATAGAATTAAAAACAATTTCTAATAAACTATTGTTTCGCTTTCATATTTATACTATCAATTCATATATATATTAATAGAAAAATCACACTTAAAATTTTAATTAAATGGCTTAACAGGTTATGGTAATTACTAATTAGAATCATTTGACATTCAATTATTCAAATGTAACCCCTCCCCTCCTATCATATTTCTCACATCTTTGGATTAAACTACTAATGCGAATATGCAAAAAATGTAACTCTATTTATGATTAGAGACTATACACAATTAAAGGTTGTTTAGTGGGTAAAATAGGGATAATAATCTCATAATATTTTATGAGATTATTTTATTTTGTATTTGATAATGAGCATTACTTAGTCGTAGAATTATTTTATATTGTAAATGGTGGGATGAGTAATTCCATAAAAAGTGTGATAAAATAATCTTATGGGATATCTCTGAAAATGTGGTTTTGCATGTGTTCATGCTTTGAGGATCGGAGTGGTTTAGTTTTTTCGTAAATGATATGTTTTTTAGGAGTGACATAAGATTTTGTAGATGACACGATAATAAGGATACTTTGTGTGTCAAAAAAATTTATTTCTTAAATTTTATGCTAAGTGTGAATTTAATGAGAATCTTAATAGATCAGTTGATTGACTATTTGAACTTTCACTTTATTGACGAGGGTTCAATTTCTCGTTTTTGTAATCCCCTCCCTCATTTTCCCTTTTCCTACCCCAAATTCGCAAAATGAATTTTTATTTGTAAATTTTATCTTTGAAATTCAACAATAGAATTACAATCCATTAAACAGAAAATGTGTTACACGAGCTTCCTCCACAGAATAGTTTACAGCGACTCCTAATTCATCGTGTTAAAATTACAATTGATCAAGGACAAATATAATTATCTTTGTTTTGTGTAGTTGTCATCTCTTTTCTTGTGTACGTTTAAGAGATTCCGTTATATCTTAAAGTAGAGAAGAAAGGTGCACATTATATTTAGAGCCATTTTATAAGGGCCAAATTAAGTAATTGTGTGGGTGACAAAAAAAACCAACAAATATAGTCACATGTATATGTAATGTATCAATATTGTAAAAATAGTTACATAACGTATATGTAACGTATTTATATTTTATAAATAATGTATACTATATATAGAGAGAGAGAGATAGAGAGAGAGGAGGACCCAGGAGGGGTGCATGTGCACCCATTAACTTAGGAAAAAATCATGTGTATATATGTATATCTATCTTAAGAAACTGATAGAAATTAAGATATATTTACCAATGCACCCCGAAGGAGTATAGGAGTGCTCTTTTGCTGCTGGTACAAGATAGAAGAACCACCCATGAGACCGGGTTCAAACCCAACTAGAGCACAATTTCATTGTTTTTATTTTAAGTTTAGCTTAAAGATCATATTTGGTGCACCCGAAGTCTTCAAATCATGGATTCGCCTCTATGTGTATGTGATGTATAACTATGTATTAAAGATGTATATACATTCATATACGTTGTTTATACAATATTTATACATTGCAATTTCAATCCCAACCAATTTAAATCTCCTCTAAGCAACATACATTTTAAATATGACCCCCTCTCAATGTTCTCGTGACTTTTGCTATATTATGCACTCGAAACTATTCACATTTGCGGCATGTTGAATTTTAAAATGAAGTTGTGAAGAAGCTTTAATGGCTAATGGAATCTTTCAATCCCACCAACTCAAAATTTCCTCTAAACAATTTCAAATTTCAGATATGAGCTCCTCTTAACGTTTCAAGACTTTTGATATATTATTCACTCGAAACAATTCACGATTGCGGCACATCATATTTTAAAATTAGGCCATTTTAATGGCTGGACATGGAGTCTTCCAATCCGGACCAACTCAAATCTCCTCTAAACAATCCTATTATATATATATATAAGCTCCTCTCAATACTTCAAGTTTTTAAATATTTATCCACTATTCTCATTTGCGGTACATCCAAATTTAAATTTGAATTTTAAAGTCTAAATATGAAAAAAGAATGAGGAAGGAATGAAAGCAAGAAAAGAGGAGGAAGAAGAAGGAGGAGGAAGTGCTTCAAACATGGACCTTGATCTAAAGTGGCATAATGGTCATTTTGTGTCTAATTTTTTCATTTTATAATATTAGGTTCCTCTTCTAAATTAAGTGAATTATTGGAACAAGTTGATCCCATGACATTCTTAAATATGGTCAAGATCTAGTTAACATGGATGTTGACGTGGCATGTTGTTAGTGGTTGATAAACAATTCTTTTGCAGTTGGCAGCATATTCAATTGAAGGCTCTTGGAGATTTGTAGGCAAGAAAAGGGTCAAAGTCAAGAATTTGAAGTTGGAAATTGAAATATTTGATCACATGGACCCACTCATCATCGACATGGCAGCTTTTTTCAACATAAAGGACACCACATTTTCAATCTATTTTAACTTCTCACATGCTCCCTTAGTTATTTACATCACCATAAGTTAATTATCTCAAATCACTTATCAATTTATAAAATCAAAATAAAATTAATTAATTTTTTCTTAAAATAATATTTTTTTTAAAATTTACAAATAAGTTTGTAAAATTTTAAAGGGAAAAGGCATAGATTCTCCCCCCTCCCCCCGAACTTGTCTCGAAAAGTCAGATACACATTTAAACTATTCTCATGATCTATTACACACCTGAACTTGTTTAAAGTGGTATTAATGCTCCCTTTGAAGATGACATGGTAGAGAAAGTTTCTTCACCTTCCTTAAGGTGCGTGAGAAGAAGAAAAAAAATGTGAAAAGACAAATTTGAACATGTGACACTATCTTATTGATCATTATATAATTAGTATTATAATTTCTGTTGGGGTTTATTTACCCTGATTTCTTACCATAAATAGGTTTTCCTTTTAGGAAAATGTTTTAATATTTTGACTAGTTTTTTTTTTGTAGGAAAAGTTTTAGGACTCTATAAGTATAGGCTTGTTCCTTCTAACTTAATCAGATTTCACAATGTAGTCCTAGGGTTTTTAGAGTTTTGGTTGTGGGGGAGAATTTTGTGAACCTCCTTGTATTCCGAGGGAATTGGTTGATGTTATTTCTCTCTATATTTTGTACTCTCATATTTATAGTGGATTGCTCATCTCCTTTGTGGACGTAGGTCGATTGACCAAACCACGTTAAATCTTTGTGTCTTTTGGTATATTTCTCGTTTGTCTTCTTACTCATGGTCTTTCAAGGTTTGCTTTGCTAGCTTCCGCATTACACCTGCTTATGTTCGGTCCTAACAAGTGGTATCAGCGCTAGATTCAATGATGGAGACAGGTCCAGTGGTTCGATAATCAATGATTGAACCAGGTTAAAAATTGGGTGTTCATCTTGGCGGGTGTAGTTCTAGCCGCAACATTTTTGACAGAAGATTTTTGTTGGAAAATTGTTTTAGAGAGGTTCTCTGTGTCGAGACGTAGATTTGATGAGGAGATTATGGAGAAGAGATGCATGATCCTAAAGATTATGTGAAGAAAGTGTTAATTATGTCAATAATAAAAAAAAAATTGTTTCTTTATTTGTGGCCCCCCAATTTTTTAAAAATGTTTTCACATTTTTCTTTATTTTGACATCTTCTTCTTCAACAGTTCTTTACCCATGGATGCATATTCAAACCCTTATGGAAGAACTCTAAAAAGTAATAGAAAGGAAAGAAGATGGTTTACATCGAAAGGTTAATAATTTCTCAATTTAAACTTCATAATTTTCCTGCTCAAACTCATCGGAGGATCAACCAAAGAAGATTTTTGGAGAAAAAAATCATTAGAAAGATAATTAATTCTATTGAAAATATTATGATTATTTATGCATAAAATTCATGATTATATTGCCTAAAATTTTAAAAATCCATTGAAGAAAATGATTACTTTATGTTTGTCTTCATTATTCTTGTCAAGGCACCCATCGCAATGTCATTTTGTCTCAAGCCGCCATCAATAGCATATTTGATTATTCACTACACACAAATAATACAAATGAAATGCTTAATTTGCATCCATAATTATCAATATTTTTAAAGAAAATTACCGATCTATACTAGAGAAGTTGGAGCACTGCATCAAATTTTTGGATATTGTAGATGTATTAAAGTGGAAGAGGTGAAACATGCAATAAGTAGGATGTAAAGGGAAAAAACGACATGACCAGATGAGATTTCAGTGAAGTTTGGAAGAACATGGATAGAGTGGGTTTAGAATTGTTAACTAGCTTGTTCAATGTCATTTTTAGGACTGCTAAGATGTTCGAAAAATAGAGGTGGAGTACGATGATTTCATTGTACAAGAGCAATGGTGATATTTAAAATTGCAATAACTATAGAAATTAAGTTGTTAAGTCAAACTCTATGAAAATATAGAAGAGAGTGATGGAGATGAGGGGTATGTCTATTTTCAAGAATCAGTTTGGATTCATGCCATGACAATCACCCACAGAAGTCATCTATCAGGTGAGGTGATTGATAGAGAAATATCGAAAAAAGGAAGGACTTACATATTGTCATGCCCCGAAGCTACCCCTTGGACACGGATACGGGACCTAGGATTACGAGTGACCCCAAGCTAACCATGTTGGCACATCATAAGCATACTAAAGTAAACTGAAGTAAAGAAATATTGTGCGGAAGCTAAATCATAAGATAAAC